GATTAAATAAGTTTTAATTGTTTATGTTCATAGTAGTTTAATTCTTTATTAAGGTACCTGACTAATGTGCTAGATAAAATATAACACATTGCAAATAAGTGACAAAAATGTGCACATCAGAAAGAGAGAAAACAAAATGAGAGGGGAACTATGAAAACAGTACTTTCACAGTAAAAATCCAAGAAGCTTTCCAACAAACTAAATATGGTATATTCACAACACTGAAAAGCAGGCCACCCACTATATCTGTCTCTTCAGTGCCCTACTCCTACTCGCTGATACAATTGCTCAGGGCTTATCTAGCCTGTCACTTCAAGTAGTATTTCAACACAGAAATAGAGAGATATACATAAACAGGGCATGTCAGCTCTAGTGGGGTAGTCTTAACAAGTGTTGATTCCAATACAACAGCCCTTTATCTTATCCATATGTTAAAGCAGCCAATTTGCATGTGCTGCAAACTTGGAGACCTGGTATAAATTAAACTGGTTTTTATTTTTGGTAATTTAAATACTATAATGATTTCAAATAGCTTTCCATAAATAAATCAAATTTGGCCTGCTGCACTGATTTGGAAGAATCAAGGTTGTATTTTTAAAAGGAAGGGTTGATAATTGCATTAATTATAGCAATTAAAATAATTTTGTACAGCACCATATTTGAAGATGAGCAAAATTAGATTTTTGAGAGCTGTTTATACAAATATCTCACAAAAGTTATTTTTCATTTAAGGTTCTTCAACTGAAGCAACTTTATATTCTAGCATCTGTAATGTCATATTTGAAATCATTCTTGGCTTTTTGGATGCATAATAATGGAGATTCAAGCCTGAAGTAATGTTCATAAACAGACAATGTGTAAATATAATTCAAAATAACTACTGATTTATTTGCCATTTGTGTCCCCATCAACAACTATTGCAAGAAATTAATTGTCCCTGTTAGCTTCTCTTCTACCAATAATCATCACTAAGACTCAGAAGGGTAGATATGCTGTTTCCTATTAAGGTGAAATCAATATGGTTAGCATGTTTCGATTAAGAATAGAACTGGGATCAAATAACCAATGAACAAACTAAAAGTCTGTGTAATGTTTGAGAACATAGGAAGTTTGAAGAAATATTCTGACTCAAGATCAAAAAATAAAGGTTTGACGAAATACCTCTAAATAAAGGTTTTGAAACTGCATTTTTTTTTGCTTTCTTTTCACTGTTTTCACTGGCTAGGAAACTATTTTATTCATATATAACTGATATGAAGCTTCAAATGAAGCATCTGTTAAAAATACAAATGTATATTTATCTTCTACCATTTTGTCTCTTTTAATTTCAACAATATTTAAAAGTATTCAAGAGCTTTTGGGGAGAGGACTATTTTTGTTCTCTTTCTTATTCAGTTATCATCATTATAGCAAAATAGAGTAAGAATGAACTTGCTCCTTCTCCAAAACATACATGACAAAAATCTCAGGAACAAAAAAGCCTTCAAATGTTTTAGTAGTCATTAAATCTGTGCAAAAGTCAAAAGAATATTTCAAACTAATCAAAGTTTCGATTAAAGCATATCTCTAAAGTAGAGCATCAAACTGAAGTGGCATTCCCCTTTGAAGAGCCGAGGTGGCGCAGTGGTTAGGGTGCAGTACTGAAGGGCACTACAGCTGACTGTTATCTGCAGTTCAGCGG